CCCTGCCTCCTCAACCCTCACCTCTGGCCCCTCCCATCTCCTCAGTTCTCTGCTCTCCTCTCTAGCAAAGTGTTTTCTGGTGTCTCTATTTCCTCTCCTCCCGATCTCCCTGTGGAAATTGCTCTTGTCAGGGACTCTAGAGACCTGAACGTGGGGATGTCCGCGTCCAGTGCTGGTCCTTAATCACTGTCACGTCTCATGACCGCCCCTCAGACTCTTCCCTTGGCTTCCAGAACACCCCACGGTCACTCCTTCTCAGCCTCTTGGCTTCTCATTTTCTCCCCTACTTCTAAATGTTGGGGTAGCCCCAGACTCAGGGGGTCTCTCCTCTATCTGCACTCAGACCTAGGTAATTTCATGTAGTATTGGGCGTTTATACCATCTGGTACTGATGATTCCTACAGATACCCGGACCTCTGTGAATTCCAGACGTTTGCACCCCACACTCCCCCTGGAATGTCTAATGGACATCTCTACCCTAAAAGCTCCTAAAGCAAACACCTGATTCTTGTCCCACCTCCCTCCCCCCAACCCTGCTCCTCTCCTGGGCTTCCTTGTCTCAGCAAACCGCAGCTTCATGCTCCCAATTGCTCTGGCCAAAACGTTGGATGTCACTTTTGACTGTTTTCTCTCTTTCCTGCCCAAATCACAGAATCCCAACCGTCAACAAGTCCTGTTGACTCGACCTTCAAAATCTATCCAGGGGTGCCTGGGTGGCTCAGTTGGTTGAGTGTCCAACTTTGGCTTAAAGCATGGTCTCGTGGTTCGTGAGCTTGAGCCCCGCATTGGGCCGTCTGCTGTCAGTGCGGAGCCCTCCTCAGATCCTTTGTCCCCACTACCCGCCCCCCCCCGCCCCTCCCCTGCTCTCTCTCTCTCAAAAATAAATAAACTTAAAAAAATCTATCCAGAATCAAACCATTTCCCACACCTCCACTGCTGTCCGTGGCCCAGCCTCTATCACCTCTAGAGAACCTCCTCACTGGTCTCCTTGCTCTGCTCTTGACCTCCTATGATCTATCCGCAAGAGAGCAGCCAGAGAGATTCATAAGGCAGATCGTGTCGCTTCTCTGCTCAAAATCTTCCAATGGCTCCCATCACACTCAGAGTCAAAGCCACAGTCTTTACGATGACCTCCTGCCCTCTGCTGTCCTCTCCCGCCCCTCTCCCTTTTGCTCTTGCTGCTTCAGCCACTCTGGCCTCCATGTTCATGGAACAAACCAGAGACACTCCTGCCTCAGGGCCTTTGCATTCGCTGCTCTCTCTGCCTGGCATTCTCTCCTCTGGATACCCACATAGCTCACTCCTCTACTTTCTTCAGATGTCTGTTAGATGTTAACACGTCAGTGAGGCCTTCCCTTACCATCACCTAGCTCTCTATCTTTCCTGGGATTCCCTATCTGCCTTAGAGTGCTTTATTCCTGCCCCCCGCCCCCCCGCCCCATTGTATACTCTATTTTCTTTTTTATTTCAACCATCTCCCTCCCTTTCCAATGTCCCACTCCCCCACTGCTAGAATATAAGCTCCATGAGGGCAGGGGCTTGTTTTGAGTTCAGTGATATGTCCCCAAGAATTTTAGAACAATGCCTGGCTCACAGAAGGTTCTCAGTAAATATTTGTTGGGTGGATGGAGAGGACAAAGGACTGAGATACAAGGCACCTGGATTCTGGATGTGGCTCTGTCACCCCTTGGCTTTGCAAACAACTTTACAGATGAGGGAACAGGTTTGAGAGATTATGTCACTTGCCTGCTGGGAGCTGGGGTTAGCACTGGGCTGTCTGGCCCTCCCCCATGTCCTCCATTGCCTCCCTGACCTTCCAGCTGGGAACTGGACGGACGAAAAGCATTAGGAGTGCTGCCCCACGGGGATCCCAGGCATGCATGGAGGGGCTGGGGGAGGCCCTGGGCCCGCAGAATCAACAGTGCTCATCTGCTTACAGAGGGGACCGGGCGACCTCAATTGGCCCCCCGAACGGGTCTCCTGCAGCAGCCACCACACCTGGGGTTTGCCAGCTCCTTGAGCCATCTGGCCAGGTGGCCCCTTGGCAGGGAGGACTCCCTCAACGTATCTCACTGTTCAGAGCTCAGCTGCAGGGCTGAGGGAGCCTGCTCCTCCCCCATGATGCCGGAGGCTCCCATTGATGGCAGGATCGCTGGTGAGTAGGAGGCTTGTGTGCCCCTGGCCAGGAGGGAGGCGTGCTGAGGCCAAGTCCCAGAGGGTTACGAGTGACAGGGAGGAGGGTTGTTTTGAGCCGGGTGATGAGAGGGTCTGTGCTGGGCTATTGGAGCGTGGGGTGACTGTCCTGTGTACTGGCCACAATCTAGCCACAGCAGTCAGGGCTGCCCAGGATTGCCAAGCCCACCCTGTCTCCAGTTCAGCCAGTCCTAGTCAGACAGTGAGCTTGGCATGGGTGAGTATTCCGCTCCTTTATTTTTTTGTTTTTGTTTTTAAAAATCTGTTTTTTTATTTTCTATATATTTTATTTTAGTTTTTGGTTAGATATTCAGTGAAATTTCTTTTTTTCTTCTTAGTTTAAATCCATGTTAGTTAACATATAGGGTCATGATGATTTCAGGAGTAGAATTTAGTGATTCATCACTTACAGAGAACACCCAGTGCCCCTCCCAAATGCCCTCCCGAATGCTCATCACCCATTTAGCCCATCCCCCACCCAACACCCCTCCAGCTACCCTCAGTTTGTTCTCCGTATTTGAGAGTCTCTTACGGTTTGCCTCCCTCTCTGTTTTTATCTTATTTTTGTTTCCCTTCCCCTAGGCTCATCCGTTGAGTTTCTTAAACTCCATATATGAGTGAAATCATGTAATATTTATGTTCCTCTGACTTATTTCACTTAGCATAATACAGTCTAGTTCCACACACATTGCTACAGATGGCAAGATTTCATTCTGATTGCCGAGTAATACTCCATCGTAGATATACACCACATCTTCTTTTTTTTTTAATGTTTTTATTTTATTTTTGAGACAGAGAGAGACAGAGCATGAGCAGGGGAGGGGCAGAGAGAGAGGGAGACACAGAATCTGAAACAGGCTCCAGGCTCCGAGCTGTCAGCACAGAGCCCGACGCGGGGCTCGAACCCACGGACCGCGAGATCATGACCTGAGCCGAAGTCGGACGCCCAACCGACCGAGCCACCCAGGCGCCCCTACACCACATCTTCTTTGTCCATTCATCACTTGATGGACATTTGGGCTCCTTCCATAATTTGGTTATTGTTGAAAGTGCTGCTGTAAACATTGGGGTATAAGTGCCCCTATGCCTCAGCACTCCTGTAGCCTTTGGATAAATTCCTGGTGGTGCTATTGCTGGGTCATAGGTTAGTTCTATTTTTAATTTTTTGAGGAGCCTCCATAACTGTTTTCCAGAGTGACTGCACCAGTTTGCACTCCCACCAGCAGTGCAAAACGGGGGAGTATTCGTCTCCTTTAGACGCCGTGGGGCTCAAACTCACAAACCTCGAGATCATGACCCGGGCCAAGGTCGAACATTCAACTGACTAAGCCACCCTGGCTATTTATTTATTTATTTATTTATTTATTTATCTGTAAATGGTTGGGTGCTTCCTATGTGCCACGTGTGATTCTGAGGCTTGTATTTAATCCCACGTTGGCTTTTTGAGGCTGGTATTATTAGCCCCATTTTACAGGTAAGGAAAATGAGGCACAGAGGTTCAGGGACTCTCCCACGATCGATCACACAGCAATAAGTGGCAGAGCTGGGACCTGAACCCAGGCGGTCTGGCTCCAGAGCCACACTTCCCTTCTACATTCATCGTTAAAGGGTTGACTAACAGGCTGCCAGACAGACTGACAGATAAACGGGCTGCCTTTCCAAAGGTGTGTTGGTTAGCCATGGCAGAGTAACTCCATTTATTCTAAGATACCACAGAGGGGGCAGGAGCCTGGCTTCTGGATCAAAAACAACTGGGGATCACTGAGACACAAGTATTTGATCTTTTACAGAATAGTGCTTAACATTCTTTGAGCACTTACTCTGTACCAGGTACCGTGCTAAGGAGTTTGGGATATATTATGTTACTTAATTGTCATATCATCCCCTACAAGGAAACCGTGGCTCGGAAGAGGTTAGGTAACCTGCCTGAAATGACCCAGCCAGGTGGCCCAGGTAGGGGGACTTAAGCTTTTGTTCCCAGGCTCCCTCTGCCGCTTGCTCTCCATGATGGCATGTTTGATTTTCCCAGGCCTCTCACCAGGGTGCTTGACAGGATGGGTTTAACAGTTAGACTCCTTGGTCTGCCTGCCGCTGAGGAGCTCCGTGCCCGGGACGTGTCCAACCCCTCTCTGAGCCCAATTCTTTATGTCTTCCTGGGGATAAAGGTAGCCATTTCCTAGAGTTAAGGCGAATCAAAGAGACAATAAGCCCCCACAAGTGGCCGTTTCTGGTAGTATTGTCGTCTTGACCATCCTGCCGCATGGCTGGGCCCGGGCCTTATGAGCCCCAAAGCACCTTACTAATTAATGCCTGTCCTCACAGCTCCAGGAGAGTGCCCTGTCCCTACCCTCTGTGCTCTATTGCAGATTGCCGGCTGCTGTGGGATTATGTGTACCAGCTGCTCTCTGACACCAGGTACGAGCCCTACATCAGGTGGGAAGACAAGAACGCCAAGATCTTCAGAGTTGTGGATCCAAACGGGCTTGCCAGACTCTGGGGAAACCACAAGGTAAACCTCAGCCACCAGGTGGGATGACCTCCACACATCCAGAAGAGGACAGGGTGGGGGGTCAGAGTGGACCCATCAGCACTAAGGGATGGTCCTCAATGGACGGGGGCTTCACCAGCAGCTCCAGATGTGTCGGGATGGTTTTATTCTAGGAGCGACTGAGGGACAGGAAGTTACTTCTTGAGGATGGGGAAGTTCAGGGATCTTGCCTTCTACTTGCTTAGCACTTGAGACCTTTTTAATTTTGTTTAATGTTTATTTACTTTTGAGAGCGCGACAGAGACAGAGTGTGAGCTGGGGAGGGGCAGAGAGAGAGGGAGACACAGAATCTGAAGCAGGCTCCCGGCTCTGAGCTGTCAGCACAGAGCCCGAGGCGGGGCTTGAACCCACAGGCCACTAGATCATGGCCTGAGCTGAAGTCAGACGCTTAACCGACTGAACCACCCAGGCGCCCCATGAGACTTTCAAAGCATGTTTCCATGAGTGGTGCCACATCTGCTGCGGGGCGGCTGGGCCAGATGAGGAAACTGGTTTCCGGGGGGCAGTTGGGGTAGAAATCCAGGTCTCAGGCCCTGCGGGAGCATCAGACGTCAGGGCTGGAAAGGCCTGGGAACCCCTGGGGCCAGCATTCCCAGTGTGAGGGACGCCTATACCTAAAAAGGGCACCTGCCAGACGACTTTAGGTGGTTGACTCCAAATCTAATAATTAAGTATTTATTTTAGTAAGAAGGAAGATGAAAAGTTTTAACTACGATGTCAGTTTCTTGATTGACACTGGTGATATAAAGCAAGTGTCCGTGTCTATAAATAAAGTCATTTAACTAAAAAAGGAGCCTTAAAAAAAAAACTATTAGCAATAATGGTGATCTACAGGAGATAGCATTTCTTAAAATGGCATAGCGTTTGATTGCTAGGCGCTGCTCTGAGAGCTTTCCCCATAGTAACGCATTTAATTCCCAGGAGACGTCACGAGGTAGGCGTCAGAGGGGAAACGGAGGCACAGAGCAGTTTTTCCAAGAGTTTGCAGGCAGTGGATGGCAGAGCGGGGGCTGAACACAGAGAGTGTGGCTCAATGCTCCCCTCTTGTTGCCTCTCAGTGGTCTGGGGGCTGGAAGGATGCAATGGACTAAAGTTTGGGCGTGCTTACCTGGTCCAATCCCCAGATAGTACAGGGAGGGAAACTGAGGCCCAGAGAGCAGCAATTCCATTCCATGAACGTGTACTACCTGCCAAGCATTGTGCTAAGTGCTCTATGGATTAGCTAATTTAATCCTCAAACAAACCTGTGGGATGGATGTTCTTATCCTCATTTTATAGCCGGGGAAACAGATGCAGAGAGGTAAAGAAACTTACCCGAGGTCACGCAGCTGCTTTATGTTGACCCCAAAACCCAGCCTCTTTGCCCTTCCTCTGCATTGCCCACCCCTCAGAGAGAGAAGAAGGAAATACCTTGGCTAAAGTCGCGCAGCTTGGCGGGGGCTACTATATATACTAGTATATACTAGTATATACTATATATACTAGATATATACTTATTTGTTACTACTTGTGACATTGGCTATTTAAAAGCAATGTGTGAGTCACTCCTGCCCCATGGTTCCCAGCCCCGTATTTGTCCTCCGACCTTCCCCTGCCTTTCTCCTCCCAAACTCAAGAGAACTCTTGTAACCCCTCACAGAACCCTGGGCTGAGGGGCTTAAGAAACCGTCCAGTTCGACCTGCTCCTTTCCAGCTGTGGAAACCAAGGCCTGGAAGGAGCAAGGTAGGGAGCGGAGGGTGACGTGGGACTGCTTTGCCTTCTAGAACCGGGTGAACATGACCTACGAGAAGATGTCACGTGCCCTGCGACACTACTATAAGCTGAACATCATCAAGAAAGAACCTGGGCAGAAGCTCCTGTTCAGGTGAATAGCCTAGGGGCCGAGGTGAAAAGGGGAAGCAGGGCTGGGCTTGGGTGGGCTGGAAACTCTCTGCGGCTAGGGCAAGGGCTGATTTGCTCCTGGGGCCCAAATTCCAGATTTCTGAAGACGCCCAGGAAGGTCGTCCAGGACAGAGAGCAACCAGAGAGCCCGGAGCAGGGCAGGTTGGATTTCAACGAGGAGATGCTGCAAGTCTCTCCCTGAGGGGCAGGTGGATTCTGGGTACCAACCGAGTCTCCCGGGAAGGCACCTGGCCGCACAGCGGCCTCCTCCTCCCTCCCAGGGCAGCAGGGATCCCCAGCAGGTTTTGCACTCAAGGGATCACAGCTGTTGTCTCTGACCTCAAAGCTGCCTGGGCACCTGGGAGGCTGGGAACTGGGAAGCCTCACATTCAGGACATGGTGGGGGGGGGCATCATTCTTCGGTAGGGCAGCCCTGGGGCTCAGTGGAGTGCAGGGAGTGATCCCTCTCTCTGCCCTACCCCTTGCTGCTTGCCCAGCTTGGGAGTGAGAGCATCCAGCCCAATTCCTTCAACTTACAGAAGAAGGAAGCGGAGATCCCTTACTGGACCTCAGTTTCCTCATCTGTGAAAGGGACGAGCTCATGGCAACCTGCCCTCAGGGGGCTGATCCTGGCTGGGAAGAAGGAGTATTGTTTTGTCAGTCTTAGTAATAATCATGGTAACTGACATTTAAGTGTTTACTATGTGCCAGGCCTTGTGCTAAGGGTCCTTCCTATAATTTATGTCATTCAATTCACACTCCAAACCCCTGAAGTTTAAAGATGGGGAAATGGAGGCAGAGGTTTGCAGAGCTGGGATGTGTCTCCCAAACCCAGTGCTATTACTTGGTTGGTTGGTTGGTTTTAGTGACTCTGAATGTATTGGGCACTTCTCAAGCAGAGGCCGTGGCCCTACCTCTCTGCCCTCAGCGTCTCTGCTGAACAGTTCATTTCACTTGGCCCAACCTCCATTTCCCGAGTTTTCGGAACTTTGGTGCCTCTGTGACAGTGACCGAGTGAGGATCTCCACTCCCTCTCCACCTGTGGTTTCCTATCTCCCGTTCCTGGACCTGCCGTGTGACCTTGGGCAAGTTGTTTCATTTCTCTGGAGCCTCAGGCTTCTCAGCCACAAAATGCAGAGGCTGGTCCTGCCCTGACCTCTCAGCATTGCAGGAAATCTTCCTAAGACAGCGTCTGTGACATGCTTAGTGGGCACCTGCTCTGTAAGGAGTACGGAATCCGTGTTAGCCAAGAGGACTCTGCAAACCCAAAGCTGCTCTAAAGCAGGGAAATGCCTCTGTGCTATGGGTTCAGCTTCTCTCTGCTCCATACCCCCCCTTCCCCCTGCCTTGAGACTGGCTGGGGCCTCCCGAGGGGGTCAGAACCTCTGCCCGGCGACCCCTCCAGTAAGGCTTGGGGGAGAAAGGGAAGGGAGTGTTTTCACTTTGCTGAAAACAGAACTTCTTATAGTCACATCTTCTTTCTTGGAAGGAGGAAACCACTCCTGCCTCTCGCCCCCAGCAGGCCAGGAAATCCCCCTTCTGGCTGAGCCTGAACTGGCTTTGAATCACTGTGCAGAAGCTGATAAGGATTCTCAGACTTTGGCCCTCAGAACTGTGACCACTCTTGAGCGGGGCTTATGTCCTGGCTTAGTTCCCCGCACCCGCCCCCCCACTCCGGGGCCCTCGACAGTTCCACACCAGAGGAGGCCGGGCAAGTGGCCTTGTCCAAAAGGTTCAGTAGGAAAATCCTTGGCCGCTGTCATCTTCCTTCAGACTGTTCCATTTCCTTGACTTTGTTCCAGGATGAACCCATGCCCCATAGCTTTTCTCATCCTCTTTAACCCAGAACTACACAACTGGGCTGGGAAAGACTGTCACAGTCAGCGTGTCCAGACTCCTTTTATTGATAAGGCAACTGAGGCCAGAGAGGGGGGACTGACCTGCTCAAGAACACACAGCCCAGCTCAGCCTGCTGACTCCTAATGGGGTCTCATAGGTTACTTCTTCCAGGGAGCCGTTGGCAATCACCTGGGGATGTGTTTGTTAATGGTTGTTAACAGCTGCTTATCCCAGTGATTGTGTCTTCTTCACCCAGGGGGTGATGAATCTCACCCCAGTGCTGGGACCACTGGGGCCTGGGTTGGGCAGAAGTCTACCACCCCGGAGGAGCCTGGAGCCCTGGCCTCTCCACACATTCCCGGGGAGGGGGATCTCCACCCTTTCCCCATCTCCCCAGGCGCTGGTCTGGAACATACACCTCGGTGACAGGAATGAAAGGATTCACTCAGCCCTTCCCTCCACCAGCATCAATGGAGCACTTGCTGTGTACCTGGCGTCAGGGGAGGCTCTGGGTTTACATCCAGTTTTTACATAGTCGGATTCTTGAAAAGTGATGGGTCACTGGAACCATGTCAGAATGGACTTCCTCACAAATGATTTTACAGAGCAGGAAATATATTCTCATGATTTGAAAAAGTAGCCAGCCATGTCTGTCTTTTTCTTTTTCTTTTTTTGCCAGATACTATTAAAGTCAACAGTCGATAAACAATTTATTTCAAAAGTGAGTGTGTTAAGAGGTTCATTAATGAAATAAATGACACCAGTCACTCTCTCCGTCCGGTCAAACCACTTACCGCACTAACCCAGGAGCTCAGGCTCCATTGTTCTCCATCTTCTCTGCTATGTGGATTCTTGCCAACCGTCTTTTTCCCTCGCAAGGAAATTCCACACCCCCCCTGGCTTTACTGAGGGATGATCGACATGTAACACGGTGTACGTTTGTGACGACATCTAGCACTTCCTTCAACCCTGGTGACTCTGCCGCACTTCGGGCTCCTCGATGCCGGTGACCCATCATCTCTCGCGGAGGAGCCTAGTGGCGACGACCTTTCTTGGCTTCTTCCTCTGGTCCCTCCCCGTGAGGTTAATCCACATTTTCTACCCAAGTGTTCTCTCTGAAGTTTTGTAGACATGAACAGAAAACACGTACGTTTCCAGAGTAAGGTCTTCATACCCCCAACTCTCCAGCATCTGGCGGTGAATGTGAAGGTGCTCCTGGCTCAGAAGGAGTCCGGTCCCCTCCTCTGTGCTGGCTTGGCCCCTCATTGGGACTTCTGGACTCAGCTGCCACAGGGATAGCTCCACGATTTGGGGGAAGAGTTTAAAAAGTATGTTGTTCTGGGGTCACGTGGGTGGCCCAGTCAGTTGAGCATCTGACTTCTGCCCAGGTCGTGATCTCGCAGTTCAGCCCCACATGGGGCTCTCGGCTGTCAGCCTGTCAGTGCAGAGCCTGCTTCAGATCCTCTGTCCCCCTCTCTCCACTCCTCCCCTGTTTGCACCCTCCCCCCAAATAAATAAACATTAAAAAAAAAAGTATGGGGGCACCTGGGTGGCGCAGTCGGTTGGGCGTCCGACTTCAGCCAGGTCACGATCTCACGGTCCGTGAGTTCGAGCCCCGCGTCAAGCTCTGGGCTGATGGCTCGGAGCCTGGAGCCTGTTTCCGATTCTGTGTCTCCCTCTCTCTCTGCCCCTCCCCCGTTCATGCTCTGTCTCTCTCTGTCCCAAAAATAAATAAAAACGTTGAAAAAAAAAATTAAAAAAAAAAAAAAGTATGTTGTTCTGGGGCGCCTGGGTGCCTCGGTGGGTTAAGCGTCCGACCTCGGCTCAGGTCATGATCTTGCAATCCGTAGGGTCGAGCCCCGCGTCGGGTGCTGTGCTGACAGCTTGGAGCCTGGAGCCTGCTTCACATTCTGTGTCTCCTTCTTTCTCTGCCCCTCCTTGGCTCGCACTCTGTCTCTCTCTCTCTCTCTCAAAAATAAACATTAACAAAATTATATATATACAAAAAGTATGTTGTTCTGAAATCAGAATGTGCGTATTTTAAAAATATTTTAATGATGAACCAAATTTTTTAAAATTCCAAAACCACTGTGAGTTAATTGCTGATAGGGGGAGGGATGCTGGTGGCATACGAAGAGAGTGCGGCCCTGCCTCTGGGAAGTTCACACAGACATTGTCGCAGTCCCCAGGGAGAGGTTCAGTGAGAGGCATGCCCACTGGAGACAGTGGTGGACAAAGTGGCATGGGTGAATTCTGCTCGGGAGGTGCCAGACAGGGGGTGTCTCAGAAGGTTCAGGGGCACCCAGGTGGCTCAGTCAGTTGAGTGTCCCACTCTTGATCTTGGCTCAGGTCTGATCTCATGGTTCAGGATTGAGACCTGAGTTGGGTTCTGTGTTGACAGCATGGAGCCTGCTTGGAATTCTCTCTCTGCCCCTCCCCTGCTCAGGTGCGTTCTCTCTCTCAAAAATAAATAAACTTAAAAAAATTTTTTTTAATGTTTGTTTATTTTTGAGAGAGAGAGAGAGAGAGAGAACGCACGCAGGCAGAACGCACAGAATCCAAATAGGCTCCAGGCTCTGAGCTGTCA